ATGTGTGGGGTCTGGGTGAGGGGTCTGGGGGGACGGTGTGGGGGGGGGGGGGGGGGGGTATGGGTTTAAACAGCAACTCTAGGCAACAAGTAATGAGTGAAGGACTTAGGTTATCAGGAGGATGCCATAAGGTTGAACAAGTCAGAAAGTTCAACAAATTTACCTTAAGGGCGGGTTCACACCATTTTCTGGAAATCTGGTCTGGAAAATAGTGTGAACCTGCCGCAGTTTCAGTGCAGAGGCCAGAAATACCATAGGGATACATTAGGATGCATTTTGGGTTCGGAAACAATCTGGTCTGGTCTGGAGATGATCTGGATCTGGTGTGAATGGGCCCTAAATGTGAATTGTAAAATAATTCCTTGTAAACATACACTGCCTGGTCAATGAAAAGTCACCTCCTGGATTTCGGGCTGTGTTATGATCTGGGGTTGCTTCAGTTGGCCAGATCTAGGTTCTGCAACATTATATCCCAAAAAAATGAGGTCAGCTGCCTATCTGAACACACTGAGTGACCCTGATGGCATGGGCTTGTTCCAAGATGACAATGCCGGGATTTATTGGGCTCAGATTGTGAAAGAGTGGTTCAGGGAGCATGAGACATCTTTGTCATACATGGATTGGCCACCACAGAGTCCAGACCTTAACCCCAGTTAGGAATCTTTGCGATGTGCTGGAGAAGAATTTACACAGTGCTCCGACTCCCCCATCATCACTACAAGATCTCGGTGACAATTGAATGTGACACTGGATGGAAATAAATGTTGCGACATTGTATAAGTTAATCGGAATGATGCCACGGCGAATGTGTGCCGTAATCAAAGCTAAAGGTGGTTCAACAAAATATTAGAGTGTCTGATTTTTTTTTTTGGCCAGGCATTGTATTTAGTGGAGCCAAAAGATAATGTGTAATAAGTAGGGATGCACCGATACTGATACAAGTATTGGTACCGATACAGAGTATTTGGGCCAGTACTTGTACTGATACTTTCCCCAAAACAGGAACTTCTGGTCAGAGGGAGATTTCCTCTGACCAGCATTGCCGCTGGTAACATGGAGCGAGCTTCCTGGCCATTCAGGAAGACTTCCAGTGAGAGGGAGATTTCCTCTGACCGGCATTGCCCCTTGGAACATTTAGCGGGCTTCCCCGGCCATTCAGGAAGATGGCCGGTGGGTCATTACCCACCACCTGGCTTCGCGATTGGCCAGAGAAGCCGGTTCAATGCTGATTGGCTGGGAAGCCGGCTTCCTGGCCAATCAGAATGGAGACGGCAAAACAGCATGGAGCTAGCTTCCTGGGCAATCAAGAAGCCGGGACGGCTGATAATGACCTGTCACCCGGCTTCTTGATTGCCCAGGAAGCCGGCTCCATGCTTGTGGAAGCACCGGTATCAGCACTCGGTATCGGGGAGTAGTGAAAAAAAAAATATTGAAAAAACGGCATCGGTGCATCCCTAGTAACAAGACCTGAAAGCAGGGGACTTTCCGTTCGTTACCCATTATCTTTTAGATTTGATTGTGATTTAGGTGCTATTTATATCCAACTTGTCCAGTTTCTTTAATGAATATACTGCTACGTGGAGCTGCAGCCTCCTTTCCCATGATCCTATGGAATTTAGTAAATAGGGCAACCAGATGCAAAAAATGTATTCCAAGATAGAAACAAGAAACACTCAGGAGAAATATTGTGACGACTATTACTGTGTTTAAAAAGGCAAAATTATCACTATTACTGTTGACTAAAGGTCCAACACTGTCATCCTTGACTTTACTACCTACTGGAGGAAGAAGAAGCATGCAGCCAGTGAAGTATAAAAAAGTCTGAATGCCCCAAGACCAAGATGCAGCACTACAGCATGCACAGCAATAGTAACTCCAATATTAGGGCCTGCGTTAATGGGCTTTTGTTCAATTCCAGCTGCTTTTGGATTCCCATACAAGTTTATGGGAATGCAAAGCCCACTTGAAGCAAGTCAAGTGCAGGTCAGAAGATGGTCAACTGCAGGTCAAATGCATCTGTCAATGAATTCAGAATGATCTAGAAGTGACTTTATAAATAATGGAATTCAAGCTCCTTGAGACAAGCAGAAGTCAAAGATGTAAAACATCTGCTCATCTCAACTAGAACTACAAGGACATGACCCTGATGGAAAGGGGCGGCACCCATGCTGTGTACATGGGGTCTGAAATACAAAGATGGGTCTAACAGAAGGGAGAGGCAGACTGAATCTTGTGCCGCTTCACAGTGAATCGGTTTGTTGCAGTTTTATTGTAGAACAGACGACTATTCATAAGCATAGGCTCATGTGATCATCATCAGAGTCACAAAACATTAAAAAAAAATACTAAGGATCCTCCCAAATATAACAAAATAACCGAGCTTGTTAGAGATGCACAGAACATAAGACGGGACTAGGAAAAAATGACATTGAAATAAGCATATTCCACCTGTCCCCCTCAGCTTTGCAAGGTGAAATATGTAAAAATTAGGGCTGCAACAACAAATCGATAATAATCGATGGGCGAGAGAGAGAGAGAAAGAAAGGGCGAGAGAGAGAGAGAGAGGGGGCGAGAGAGGGAGGGAGCGAGAGGGGAGAGGAGAGAGAGGGAGCGAATGGGGAGAGGAGAGAGAGGAGAGGGGAGGAGAGAGGAGGAGAGATTTTTTTTAAATGCAACCAATCGATTAATCGAAAAAAATAAATCGGGCAACTAATCGACTATGAAAATAATCATTAGCTGCAGTCCTAGTAAAAATAAACTGACCTTGCGCAATTAATTTTACTACGGCACTCAGAAAATTTCAACCTGATAAAACGGACCACTGCTGATAGTTCCTTAAAAAATGCTGGTCATGTGACATCAGCAATCTCCTTCTTGTCCCTAGCAAGCTACCTGTGTCTCTGAAGCATCATGACATTCAGGGGCGGTAATGGTAACAGCATTAGGAAACACTCCCTGTGTGGTCTGTTGTAATATATATATGGCAGCTCCAGAATATAACTTACACAGGGAACATAAGGATTATATTACTTTGTTGGGCAAGTGAGATGAGCAAACGAGGCAGCACTTGGAATCGGACGTCTAGAGACGCCCGCTCAGATCGAGAGAGCTCCTGGCCGGCCGTTTTTTTACTACGGCCGGCCCGGAGGTAGTTAAACTGACTCATACTGATTATTGTAAGAAATGTTATCGCTGCACTTAATAAAAACAAGGTCAGCCAATCTCCTTACCTGTGTCCACGGATATCGGACTGGTCACACACTCCACCCAACGCGATCCTGTGGAACTCTCGGCCCAAAGTCTTAGCGATGGACCTTCCTACGCTGGTTTTACCCACTCCAGGGGGTCCAACGAAGCAAAGGATAGGGCCCTTGAGGTTGTTCTTCAGCTGCCGTACAGCCAGATACTCTAGAACCCTCCTCTTCAGCTTTGTCATGGCATAGTGATCGTTATCCAGGAGAATCCGCGCAGCGCGGATATCCAAGCGATCTGTAACAGAATGAAGAAAGTCAAGGTCATTAGGCAAAACTGTAGGGACCAGGAACGACAGAAAACGGAACGTGCCCTTAAATACGATATGGCCAAAAGTTAGTAGGAACCTGCCCATCACGCTTATTATATGTCCTCCAAATGTATGAGTTCAGGTGTAACTTTACTGTGAAGGGTCTAGTGAAGGGAACTGTTAATGCTACAGCATACAAAAGATTGCCTGACTGCATTGTGCCAAGTGTAAAGTTTGGTGGAGGGGGGATTATAGTGTGGGGTTGTTTTTCAGGGGTTGGGCTTGGCCCCTTAGTTCCAGTGAGGCATCAGCATACCAAGACATTTTGGACAATTTCATGCTCCCAACTTTGTGGGAACAGTTTGGGGACGGCCCCTTCCTGTTCCAACATGACTGCGCACCAGTGCACAAAGCAAGGTCCATAAAGACATGGATGGGGGAATTTGGGGTTGGGGAACTTGACTGGCCTGCACAGAGTCCTGACCTCAACCCGATAGAACACCTTTGGGATGAATTAGAGCGAAGACTGCGAGCGCGGCCTTCTCCTCCAACATCAGTACCTGACCTCACGCATGGTCCAACATTCTCATAGACACACTCCTAAACCTTGTGGACGCCTTCCCAGAAGAGGTGAAGCTGTTATATCGGCAAAGGGCGGAGCCAACCCAATACTGAACCCTACGGACTAAGACTGGGATGTCATTAAAATTCATGTGCGTGTAAAGGCGCCCCAATACTTTTGGCAATATAATGTCTATTCTGACTATGAATTCTATTGTTATTTTGCTCGGGCATACACTTTAAAGGACTCGTGTAACAGAAACCTAGAGCGAGGTCTAACCATTACCCTCCCTACTAAAATAAAAAGTACTGTCATAGCAGCATGACAAAAGAGTGGACCCCTTCACCCCTCTTAACCTTTCTATTCTAGCCAAAAAATAAAAAAAAAAGCGGTGCCTAGAGTTCCACTTTTGCTCCTGCACACCAGGTTTATCTTTAATTTGTTGCTAAAGAATTTTTATTTTGGAATCCTAGCCTGGTTCTCTTTAACTCTGGGATTTGGGTCAAGCAGGATGTTGGTTTGTTTTTCAAGCTGCTCCTGCGGGAATACAGCAAAGGAGCTGAATTGAATTTATCCTCTAAATCTTTTTTTCATGTTACTCTGTTCATTTTAATAAAAAAAAAAAAAAAAGACTCCTTTGATCTTTTAAAAGTGAGCAGATTAAAGAAATCCCCTTGTGATGAGGCTGTTTCACAAGCAGAACAATGGAGCTGGTGACACAATGTTTAGGTGTGGACTCGTCCGAGACGATTACATCCCCGGATTTAAGAGACGCCCACCTTTGGAAAGATGACGCTCGCCCTTTGGAAGTGGCATGATTTGAGCGTGCAATCTGGGGTCTTGAAAGTGTTTCGATTGCCTCATTATCCTTTAATGAGTCCATACAAATGCTGCCGTCAAAGCCCCCATTCACCGTGGCCCACCATTTACTACTTGTGACCTATTTGTTGTGCATCTCCTCAATTACATTTAATCGCCTTTCTTTCTCTAAAGTAGATGTAAACCCGAACACGAACATTTCTTATACGCTTTACCCAAAGCCATTACCAATGTGCAGCTTTCATTAAATGAATCCCTTGGTGATCCTGCCATGAAGGTCCTTTATCAGGCACTTTCTGCTACAGGGGGACTGAACTGTGCTCCTTTGTTGGAAAACCCTGTCATGTGCTACCCAGGTGGAGACCAATAACACAAACCTTTTTTTTAAGGCCTTATTCACGCTGGTAAACCCGGCCCGTATAGATCAGAGCGGTGTGCACGGCCGTATCGGGTCGGCTCCCCGGAAGGACGGGTGCGTGCGTGTGATTGTAGGCAGCAGCCTGTTCTTCTCTATGGGAGAGTCTGTGCTCGGACGCAGACACGATCCATCCTGTCTGCGTCCAAGTACGGACACTCGCACGGATGTGCAGCTCGGGTGAGCATACGGCCGCGTACTCCCCCCCTGAAGGCAGCATTGCAGTGTGAACATTGCTCATAGAAAACAATTGTGCCCTTGCGGTGACTGGCGTTGTTTCGGTGAGTCACTACACATTGTGTGAACCTACACAAGACTTCCCACATCTTTTATTTTGATGCACCTGAAACGTATTTATCTGATTTCGGCCTTGTGGCGATGGCATCAATTTGAGATGGTTCAGAGATTGTTCAGAATTCAAGGACATTTTGTTCCCATAGACTTGTAAGGGAATGCAAAACCCGTTTGATGTGAACAAAAGTCCATGGACACAAACCCTTAAAGCAGGGCTTGACAAATCCCAGGCGCCAGGTCGCCATGGCAACTAGAAACTGCGCCATGGTGCCTGGGCTTTCGTCAGCCTCCTCAGCTCTGCTCCCCTCTTCGTTGGGAGCCCGCTGCATGCTGCGGTCTGTGTTCCCTTCAAACCCCGCTGCTCTCCGCGCCTGCATCAGCAGAGATCAGCGGGGACACAGACCACTACAGCCGGTGCCCAGCGGGGAGGAGAGACTGCTATCAGGCGCTATGAACCATTCCCGTGCCCACCACCGCCCTCTGCCCATGCACCCGCGACAACCCCCTCTATATATACGGACCGTAGCAACTACTTCCCATTCCGCCAACAGTACTTGTCTCTATATATATATGGACCGTAGCAACTACTTCCATTCCCGCCAACAGTACTTGTCTCTATATATGGACCGTAGCAACTACTTCCCTTTCCGCCAACAGTACTTGTCTCTATATATACGGACCGTAGCAACTACTTCCCATTCCGCTAACAGTACTTGTCTCTATATATACGGACCGTAGCAACTACTTCCCATTCCGCTAACAGTACTTGTCTCTATCTATAAGACCGTAGCAATACTTCCCATTTCTCATTTAGAACATCGGATATGTAAAGACTCGCAACCCAGCTTTCCCACTAGCAGGGAAGCAGTCTCCATGCTCGCGGGGTTAATGACTCGCCGCCTGGCTTCCTGATTGCCCAGCTTCTGGACCAATCAGGAAGCGAGGCAGAGAGTCATTACACGGTGTCCAGCTTCCTGATTGACCGGAAAGCCGGCTCTTGAAGGCAGCATTGCAGTGTGAACATTGCTCATAGAAAACAATTGTGCCCTTGCGGTGACTGGCGTTGTTTCGGTGAGTCACTACACATTGTGTGAACCTACACAAGACTTCCCACATCTTTTATTTTGATGCACCTGAAACGTATTTATCTGATTTCGGCCTTGTGGCGATGGCATCAATTTGAGATGGTTCAGAGATTGTTCAGAATTCAAGGACATTTTGTTCCCATAGACTTGTAAGGGAATGCAAAACCCGTTTGATGTGAACAAAAGTCCATGGACACAAACCCTTAAAGCAGGGCTTGACAAATCCCAGGCGCCAGGTCGCCATGGCAACTAGAAACTGCGCCATGGTGCCTGGGCTTTCGTCAGCCTCCTCAGCTCTGCTCCCCTCTTCGTTGGGAGCCCGCTGCATGCTGCGGTCTGTGTTCCCTTCAAACCCCGCTGCTCTCCGCGCCTGCATCAGCAGAGATCAGCGGGGACACAGACCACTACAGCCGGTGCCCAGCGGGGAGGAGAGACTGCTATCAGGCGCTATGAACCATTCCCGTGCCCACCACCGCCCTCTGCCCATGCACCCGCGACAACCCCCTCTATATATACGGACCGTAGCAACTACTTCCCATTCCGCCAACAGTACTTGTCTCTATATATATATGGACCGTAGCAACTACTTCCATTCCCGCCAACAGTACTTGTCTCTATATATGGACCGTAGCAACTACTTCCCTTTCCGCCAACAGTACTTGTCTCTATATATACGGACCGTAGCAACTACTTCCCATTCCGCTAACAGTACTTGTCTCTATCTATAAGACCGTAGCAATACTTCCCATTTCTCATTTAGAACATCGGATATGTAAAGACTCGCAACCCAGCTTTCCCACTAGCAGGGAAGCAGTCTCCATGCTCGCGGGGTTAATGACTCGCCGCCTGGCTTCCTGATTGCCCAGCTTCTGGACCAATCAGGAAGCGAGGCAGAGAGTCATTACACGGTGTCCAGCTTCCTGATTGACCGGAAAGCCGGCTCCATGCTCCCTGGTCACCAGGGGGCATGGAGTCGGCTTTCCGGCCAATCAGGAAACCGGGAGGGCGGGTAATGAGTCGCCGTCCGGCATCCTGGTTGGCCAGCTTCCCGACTAATCAGGAAGCTAGGCGGCAAGTCATTATATTCTGCCCGGCTCCATGCTCCCTCATCACCAATTGACAAGGGAGCATGGAGCCGGCTTCCCGGCCAATCAGGAAGCCGGGCAGCATGTAATGACTCGCTGCCCGGCTTCCTGATACTGGAAGTTCCGGTATCGGGCTAGGGATCAGAGCATTTGGGCAAGTACGAGTACTCGCCCAAGTACTCGGTATCAGCACCGATACCGATATTGGTGCATCCCTAGAATTGACCATACTATAACAACAAAAGGTCCAGAACGGACATGTCAAAAATGGATGTAAACTGAACTGGCAACGGATGTGTAAACAGATGCAAACGGATTCAGCCTACATCAGTTTTTTGTATCCGTGAACCTTGACTGAACCGATGATGCTCGTGTGAAAGGGGCCTTAGGCTACAGAACAGGAGTAGCCAGAATCGGAAGGAGGAGCAGGAAATGCATTGCTATTTTTCTGGAGGAATTCAAGACAAAATGATGGATTTCTCAGGGTGCTGCTATGGCACGTTAACATTTCTAGACGTTCCTGGTCCGCTTTAACCTCTTCTTTCCATGGGAACACTTTGAGACTCACAACGCGGTCGCAGTAAGGTTTCATGTCTGCCGCTGATGACAATGCGGCGTTCTATTTTTGCCGCGATCCGTTTCACCGGGCTGGAATGTCAGGCATCCCCTGGGAATGGAGCCTTGTTTTGTTCAGTCAAGCGGAGTGGAAATCAAACTCTCTATGCTG